TCTTGGCGGTCCCGGGCGCCTCTTAGAGTGTCTTGGGTGCCTTGGAGAGCTTCTTGGAGCCTCTTGGGGGTCTTTTGGGGGCCTCCCGGGGCGCCTGTTGGGGCTTCCTGGGGCATCCTCGGCTTCTTGGGGCCCTCCTGAAGCGCTCTTGGGAGCCTTGGGGGCGCTCTTGGAGCCCTCTTGGGCCATCTTGGAGTCATCTTGAAGTTCCGGATGGCCATCGGAAGCGAAAAGGCGAGAAAGCCACAATTATTTATTTTCTTGAGGTTTTGGAAGGATGTTGGCCTCGTCGGGGCCTCCTGGGGAAGCTCTTTGGCCACTTGGAGCCGTCGTAAAACCTCTTGGAGCATCGTGGGAGCCATCTTGAGGCATCTTGGGATATCTTGAGCCGTCTTGGAGGTCATCTTGGGCTCTCCCAGGCGCTCGTGGAGTAATCTGAAGCAGCGCCCCCCCCAGGAGGCCCAAATGTGGCCAAAACCAGAGTATAACCAATGATTTTGGCATTCTCGCCGAGGCCTCTTGGAGCGTCTTGGGTGCCTCTGGGTGGTTTCTTGGGGCCTCTCTCTTGGGAGCCTCTTGGGGGCATCCTGGGGGCCTCTTGGGGACTTTTCGGGGCCACATGGGGCCATCCCGGGGCCTCTTGAGGCCTCTTGGGCGCCTCTTTGGGCCATCTTGGAGGAGATCGATCACAGGAAGGGGGGGCTCAATGACCCCCCCCCTCAGGAGGCCAAAATGGGGCCAAAACGCGAGTAAAACCACTGATGATGGCTTCCTCGCCGAGGCTGTTTTGGACGTCCCAACGCGTCGCGGAATTTCCCGTCCAGGTCCAGGGGAAGGGGTAGGCAGAGGGGTCAAGACTCCCTCCCCGCCCGCAAGCCGTCTCGCTCACGCCCACCCGCCCTCCCAACACATACGTAACACCCGAATGTGGCCCGAGCCTCAGCATACTCAGCAGTCGTCTGTGAATGGGCAGCTATTGGGGGCCAATCCGCCGCAGGCTCCGCCGCCGCCGCCCCCGCCGCGCCGCCCGCCGCCGCCGCCCCCGCCGCCGCCGCAGCAGCCGCTGTTGCCGCAGCCGCTGCCGCCACCGCCACCGCCGCCGCCGCCACCGCCGCCGCCACCGCCGCAGCCCGCCGCCGCCGCCGCCGCGCCCGCCGCCCGCCGCCGCAGCCGCCGCAGCCGCCGCCGCCGCCGCCAAGTGTACTCTGCATTGTTTTTTTGTCAGGGATGGCGGGGGAGACCGCATCGGGTTGGTTGCGCATGCTCCGAGTTTGGAGGCAGAGTGTGTTTGTATGTTTTTAAAAAGGGATGGTGGGGGGGCCCTCATGGATCCTGGTTGGCTACCAGTCGCCTGGGGGAGGCGGGTGTTTATATATATATATATTATATATATATATATATATATACACATATATATATACACACATATATATATATATATATATATATATATATATACATATATATGTGTGTGTGTAACTATAGAGTGAACAGTGATACACCCCTCCCCGAAAAGGAAGAGGAAACTCCCTAAACCACCTACGCCCAGAGGGCTGGTGAGATTCCGACATCGTTGATGACTCTTGGGTTTACACTAGTCCTCCTCGTCCTCGTCCACGTCTTTGTCATCGTCCTCGACCTCGTCCTCGTCCTCGTCGTCTTCGTCCTCCATGGGGCTCCGCTTGGTATTTGGGGGCCTCGGCCCTTCTCCTCCTCCTCGTCCTCCTCATCAATCCTCCTTCATCCTCCTCCGTCCTCCCTCGTCCTCATCCTCCCTCCTCATCTTCGGCCTGCTCCCCCCGCGCGGTGGCACCGCGACAGAGAGCGTCGTGACGCTGGCCAGCATTTCTGTCGACTCCGATCAGTTGGAGATGCAGTGGGAACCCCTGCCAAGAAAACAGCCTGCTTGCCTCCAGGGTGCCCTGGTTTTCTTGGGCTTCGATGGTTCTGCTGTGGGAAGCGTGACGTTCCCACCACGGGTGGACCTAAACGGTGTTTTGGCGATTTCGTGGGCCGTTATCGTTTCGATTTCGTTCTGCTTTGAAGGCGGATTGAAGACAAAAGGGGGGACAACGAAAACAAAACGAAAACGAAAAACACCGTTTAGGTTCAGCCCTGGCTCCCACCCCAAAAATCAGTGGACGTCCTGGGGCCTCAGGGTTGGGTCTCTTGCGGAGGCGGGGGCGCCGCGGCGGTGCGGCTCGGCGTGGAGCCCGCTTCTCTCCACGCTGCATCGCCTTGGCATCGCTCGGACGTGTGCATTTTTCCTTCGGCGAGGAGGGCGCTGCCTGGTGTGCGAGATGCATCGGCCCAGGCCCACACGCATCCGCTCTCTGGCAAACTCTGCCCCCTGAAATTCTCCCCCCCCCCCCCTCCGGGACCAGGCCGAGGCTTACGCACGCTCACGGGGACACCTACTACCTCCCAACAGAAGCGGACCATATGGTCGATGCCCACTCTGCGGGCTCGGAGAAGCGACCACGGAACACGTGTGGCACTGGTGCCCAGCCGCGCATGGTTCGCGGCGATCCAGGTGCTGGGCTTCGGCAAGGTGCCGACCAGCACGCCCCCCCGCTCCTGGTACCACCTGAGGCTGGGTTGGGCGAGCGGGTTCCTGCGCAGGTGGTTCATCCTTTGGCAGGTCACCGCGGATCCCGCGACAGGTCCGCCCCTCTTTGCTTTGCTTTACGGTTGCGTCTATGTGCCCCCGTCTTCTGTGCCGGATTAGTTGCTCGCGCTGCGCGCCGGCGACGTCGGCGACTGGGTTCCCACGGTAGACGTCGCCCCCGAGTCCTCGCTACTGCTCAAGTGGTTCATCTTTTGGCAGTTCACCACGGTCCTTCCGCAGGGTGGCCCTGAGGACTCGACCAGTGCTTGCAGCTGTACTCCCCCGACTTCAGTGTCAGGCAACTTGCAGGCTATTGACTCAGAAGACATGGCCAGCGATTCCTCGCCTTGGACTGGGCGTTCTTCTGCCCAAGAGCGTCCTATGAGTCACTGCGAGTGAGGCCGCCATCTGTGCCCCTCTTTCTCCTGCCGCCGCGTGCCCTTTTGTGCCTGCTGTGTTTCTCCTCTTCCTTGGCCTCCTCTTCGTTTCATGGACGGCGCGGCCACCCCGGCCACTCTGTGCCGCTTCAGCACAGCGTGCCCCGGCCATGCGCGCTGTTCGGCACGGTCAAAGCCTGGCGCCACTTGCGCGACAGCCCCTTCCGTCCCCATTTCGGGCCTGCGTTCCGATTTCGGGCCGCCAGCGTCCTAATGAGGGTCATTTTGTCCCTGGCACGTGCACCTGCTGCCGTGGCCTATGCGCCCCCTGCACCTAATTATCTCGCCCTGTGCCCCAGCCGAGTCCGCCCCGCTTCTTGGATCTGCCCTTGTGAGCCGCCAATCAAAAAGTATCCCCACCAGCTGCGGCGGTCCGGCGCGGCCCTGGGGGGCCGCGTGGCTCTCGTTGGCGGGCTCGGGGCCCGGGTGGGATGCGCCTACGGCGGGCGTGGCCGGACCTGCGTCTGACGGTTTTCCTGCTTCTCACTGTGCAGCCCCCCCCGGCACCCCGTTGTGCGACTACATCACATCGCCCGTGCCAGCGCCGCGTGCCCCGTGAGGCATAGCTCAACTTGTGCTCTTGGAGACCCTCTGATCGGGTCCGGCTCGCCTCGCGGTACCACCCTGTGCGCTCCATCTCTACCTCTTCGCCAGCGATGCTCACCATGCCAGCGGGCCCCCCCGCCACCAGTGGCCTCGCCGTGCCGGCGCGCGCTGGATGGGTCACAGTCGCACGGTTACCCCCCGACACTGTGATGTGGTCTAACTGGGGCTGGCTAGTGTACTGAGTGGTTCAGCCTTCAGCGTCAGGCACAGCCCCTCAGGCCCACCTTCAGCCCCCCAGTGCGTTGCACCACGGCCCACGACTGCTGAGCCGGCTTGGCTTACGCAGGTCGTCCGTTTGGAGTATGGCGCCACATCAGCGACTCACCCCTGTGGCCACCCCATCTTCACCTTGCACAATGACTTGCCCACTGAGGTCCGCGGGTCCTGCGCGGGTCTTGCGTTGGCCACTTGAATTCTGGTCATTTTGTCCAGTGCGCGTGCCCGAGCTTGCAGTGCGCCAGCCAGTTCAGCGTCACCCAGCCTGCAGCTGCCGTCTGAGGGGGCCGGCCGGCGCGCCTGTCCTAGCCAATTAGCCTCGCCCGTGGCCCGGACGTTGCTTTCGCCGCCTGACCCTTGTCTCGTGGCCGCGACCAAAAAAAATAACCCCACCAGCCCATCCAGAAACGATGCCCAGAGGAATTGCCTCGATCAGGGAAGTGGGCAGCGCACAAAGGAAGGGTCTCAATGGAGGCATCGCTGCCCTCCTCGTCATCCACGCTGTCATCCTCGTCATCCGCCATTCTGTCGTCGCCATCAACCCTCACTTTCTCTTATCCCTTGGAGCCCAATAAAGAACGACGGCGTTCCCCCTTCTATGTCCGAAAAGTTTCCCCTAATAGTGTTTGCACTTTGGTCGCCTTCTTTATGTGCCCGAGGAGTTTGATGGTTCCAGCGAAGCGTCGCCACGTTGCCGCCCGCGGCCGCCTCGTGGCCGCCTTGTCCGCAGGGTGGGTCCGGCGAGGTTTCGCAACGTTGCCGCCCGTGGCCGCCTCGTGGCCGCGTCGTGCGCTGAGTGGGTCCAGCGAGGTTGCGCCACGTTGCCGCCGGTGGCCGCCTCGTGGCCGCCCGGACCACGTTTGTACCACAGCTTGCGCAACATATCTTGCACGACTTAGCTCTTGCACCATATAGCTGACATATCCACAGAGCAATACATCACTGTTTCTCACAGCTTCGGGTCCACGCTGGCCAACATACCCATTGTATTCGGTATGTGAGACAGCAAGTGATGTCTGGGCTTCATTTTGGTAAGATTGCGGAGGGAGGGAGGAATTTTGCGGAGGGTTTTGGTGGAAACATTGTCGTTCCAATCATCACTGGGGGATGCGTGAAAGTTGTCTGGGCCGCCTGGGCGGCGCCTTGTGGCCGTGTCTGCGTCGTCCTGGGTCTTTTTGGGAGGGCCGTCTTGGGTTTCTTGCCGTGCTGGCTCAAGCTCGGTGCATGCCGAGAGTGCGCGGCCGCTCAAGACGACACAGCCGCAGCACACCGTTCAAGGATTTGAGCACGCAGCACGAGCCGCCTCATGCACAGGGACCGCGGAGACCCCTGCGCATACCACGAAATCAGGCTCGTCGTCAAGAACTGCTCCGTGGAGGTGGAGGAGCAGGGCGTCGATTCTAGGCTGCGCCGCAGCAGGAGCGACGGTAATCTTCGGGGCGCCACTGCTGGGCCGCTTGAGCACGATGGTTCAGCAGGAAGGCCTGCGCACACGGACGACGGTCACACTGGCAGCGTCGGCCACCAACCCCTTGAGCACAATGACTCAGCAGGAGGGCTTGCGCACACGGTCGGCGGTCACAGTGGCAGCGCAGCCGGGAGCGCTGCGGACCTGCAAGAGTCGCCAGTCTCACCGCAGGGTAGCAGCTGCTCCTGGGGAGAGCTCAGCTGCTGCAGCCAATACAATCTCAGCGGGTGCTCCGGGCATGACAGCCAGGACTCGAAGAAGAAAAAAACCCATAAAAATAAACTTTTGGCGCTCCGCGCGGATACTTGGATCGGCGCTGGGGCCCTCCTGGCGACGCCTCCGGCGCCGCCCCTGGCGCGCTCCGCGCTAGAGAGGGGGGTTTGTCACGGATCCAAGAAACCCGCGCGGAGCGCCAAAAGTTCATGTGTATGTGGTCTTTTCTCCCCCTAAGGACGAGAGCTGCGAAAGCACCACTTCGGCGCCCGCTTACCGCAGCCCCTGGACCGGGGAGGAGTGCGAGGCGGAGTGGCTGCGAGGCAAGGAGGAGCAGCACGGCGCCGGCACCTGCAAACCGTGCCTGTACTTCAAGACCAGGGTGGGCTGCACGAAGGGCCTGCAGTGTAGCTTCTGCCACCTGCCGCACGAGGAGCTGAGGCAGAAGGCGGCGCGGCCGTGCAGGCAGGCGAGGCTGCAGTGCAAGCAGCTGCTCGCGAAACTGGGCGGCTGGCGCGAGGGCGAGTCGGCTGCCGCGGTGGTGCGGCCCGTCGTTCGCGACCTGGACCAGCAGTACAGTCGGGGCGCTGAAGAAGCAACCCTTTTCGTTTGGGAGGGGCCCAGTTTTCCTCAGTTTTTCTGCAGTTCGCCTCAGGTCTTCCATAGGTCTTCGAGGGAAATCGAAGTTTGACCTATGGCTACAGGTAGGGTAACGGACAATGACACAAATTTCCAAACTCGGAGGTCCGCGCGGATTTCTTGGATCCGCGCCGGACTCTCCTCCCTGGCGCGCGGAGCGCGCCAGGGGCGGCGCCGGAGGCGCCGGAGGCGCCGCCAGGGGGCCCCAGCGCCGATCCGAGAAATCCGCGCGGACCTCCGATTTCTCTTTGCCTGGGGTTCCTTCCAAGTCAGCGCCCTGTGCATGCTCAGCCTCTGCGGGGCGCGAGGGCCCCGGCGCGGGGGCCCGGGGCGAGGTGGCAGCGGCAGCGCGGGGCGAGGGGGCAGCAGCACGTGCTCGGCCTCCTCCGCGGGCGGCTTTCCCCAGGCGGCCGAAAGCCCGCCGCAGCGGCCGCCGCCGGGCGAGTGCCCGCCGTAGGCGGCGGCCGCGCAGCGGCAGCTGCAGGGGTGCGTGCCCAGGCCTCGGGCGCGCCTCGAGAAAACAAACAACAAAATCGAGGTGAAGAGGTTTTGCCTCGTGTTCGGCCCCCTCGGGGCCCTCGCCGGGCCTCGGAGCCGTCAAAAAAACGGCTCAGGAGGAAGAACGAGTCCCGGGGAAGTGGTCGGGAGGGCGGGGGCCTGAGTCTCAAAAGCATCGGGACGTCGGATGTCTGGGTGTGCGTGTGTGTGTGTGTGAATATCTTCGCTGCTCACTCCCTGGGTGCGCTCACTCGCACCTGGAGTCGAAGCGGCGTTCTGCCTGACTGCACATGGTGTATAGTCTTCGGTGTCGGAAGTACCCCCGCTTTTGGGAGCGCGGCACTCGCGAGTGCCTTCGTCCCAGTTCGCGGAGTGGGATTCTTCCGCTCGCAGTGCTTGCGGCGTTGGAGGCGTGCGCTGCGGTGAAGCAGCAAGAGGTTGACGTATCGCCCTTGGCAGAAGGGCGCGGAAGGTCGGCGGGAGCAGCAGAAGCAGAGTTGGGCGTCTCCACCAGCGGAAGCCCAGCGAGAGGCGGCGCAAGCGGAAGGTGACCCCCTGCCAGAGAGGTCAGCGCCAGCGTGTTTGGTGTTCCTGGAGCCAGTCATGTTACATGCTCTAACCCTCGAAGAAGAAAAAAGGTCGTAAACATCAATTTTTTGGAGGGGGTCCAGCGCAGATCCAAGAAATCCGCGTGGAGCTCCAAAAGTTTATGTTTACGCCGTTCTTCTTCCTCCATTGCATGCTCTCACCCGCCGCGGCTGCTTCTGTCCATTGGGAGGGGGCTGCTGGAAGGGTAAAGGGGAGGAGTTGCTGATAGGTCAAACGGTGCCAGGTGCATGATCCCAAGCCGTGAGGCTGGCGACCGAGGCTGTGTGATCGGGCAGCTGCTGCGGCGCTTCCCGGTCAGTGTTGTTTCGCCAGTCTTCACATTAGTCTTCACCATTGCCGGCTTCTTTTTTCGAAGGGAGGGAGAGGAGGAGGAACTATTTGAACTATTTGGCTAAGCACTGGACATGTGCGTGGGAAAAGAGGGCTAGCCGAGACCTCGTTGCGCCGACACAGCTAGAAGCCTAGCTGGCACACCTTCTCGTCTCGGATACAAGCCCTTGTCGATACGAGATACATTCTCTCGCCCTTTACGAGTAATAGGCTCGCAGGCGGCCTCAAGTTAACGACCATCGAGGGTAGCATAGTGCCCACATTGTCTGCAGAAAGTGAGACAATATGTATCCCAAACCTGCACGACATGGGACGGGTGCACCGAAACTCCCGCAGCCACAGCACCTGAGCCCCTGGACCAAACTCACGGGCAGGGAGGAGGCCTTGGCACGGAGTGGCCGCGACCTCAAGGATTCTGGACACTGGGACCACAATCCGACATTTCTCGCACCGAAACTGGTGACTGGAAGCAGCAAGGGCACGAGAGAGAGCGGAGGCGGGGGGGCCTGCGGTCCTTGGGCAGCCTCTCGCCACTCCAGGGGTCCGCGTCGGCAGCCAACTCAAGCGCTTTACGAGCCCTAGCTCGAACAAGCATTCCCATGGCATCCCACCGATCCGTCTCAAGAGAGTCGACACGACACGACAACGACCCCTCTCCCGCCGCCAGACCCGAACCTTCATCAGCCAGAGCATTGCCCTGAATTAGGAACGGGTCTAAATCATTTTCTTCCGCCTCAGTGTGAGACGGAATCCATTTAATCTGAACGCTGTCCTGGGAACGATCTCCAAGGGCGACCCTGATGCGACTCCAGAGGTCCTGATTGGAGCCACCCATGGCACGCACCCTGCCAGACAGCCACGCACGCGCGAGAGGCTGATGATCAGTCACGGACTGAAATGGTTCCTGAACAGACTCCAGAGCGAGGGCGAAAGCACTGAGTTCGGCCCTGGGGACCGTCTGCCTACGCCCACCGACAACAGAACGAGCACCCGCGGACAGGACCCACTCGCCCCCTTCAACTCTTTTGAGCGCCACTACAGCGTAGCCGCAACGCCGACGACGCACATCAGAGCTGAATTTTCCTCCAGAGCCATCGCCGAACAGAACGACCCGACCGAAATCGGGATGGGGTTCAAGAACTCCGAATGAATCAGGGCCGTACAGCACCACCTGCTCAACAGGATAGCGCTGCGCCTCGGGGGGGTGAGTCCAATCGCAGGGAGGAATACCTGTCAACCAAGACGCAGGACAGGATTGATGCTGAGCCTGAGCCTGCATCAACAAACAATCGGACTTCACAAATTATTCACCTACGTTTTTGCAACATGTCCAGATGCGATGAAAAAGCGTTTCCTCTTCATATTCGCACTTGGAGCAGATGCGCGAGACTTTGTAGCCACACTCGGCCATCCTGACCCGCGGCCATTGTCCCCCTGAAACTACCGCATTCTGAAACCCCAGCGACAACAACTCTTGACGCTTCTCGAAACGCTTGGCCTCCTGTCTAGCACAGTATAAGTCTCCACCCCCCAGCTCCAAACCACTCCCTTCGAAGTGCCCCGAAGCCTGGCGCCATAACTTATTCTGAATGTCGTCTAAAAGTTCATCTAACAACTCAGTGAAGTCGGCATCTTGGGCCTCGAAACTTGGATCCGACGCCATTGGCAAAAGCCAGGTCTCCTCTCCCAGGGACGACGGCCTGGTCCAAGCATTCGCCGGGCGGGGAGACCATCCCGCATCATATAACACAGCAATGACTGCACTGACTGGGCCCTTGGCGCGAGCCCACCTGGTCTTGGGATCCAACAATCGCGGACGCAAGAACGACCACGCGCGAAGGACCCGAGGGTGAAGGGATGGGGTCGATCGCCAAACCATCAGCCACTCGAAGACCAGCTGGCGCCTAAGCTCAAGCGCGGGCTCCTTCCTACCCATGTGCAGACACAGTGTTGATGTGAGACACCTGCCAGCCCCCTTGCCCGCTGTGGCCTGTGCGGCTTGGCGGCGAAGTTTGACAGCCACCGATGGGGGGAAAACCGTTACATTGATTGCCATAGGAGGCTTGGGGGGCGCTCCTGTGGTCCACAAAATCTGGGAAATTCAATTTAGTTTGGCAGACCTCAACTTGCGAATTCTACCGAAACGATGAGCCGCCTTCTTGAGACGCTCCTTAGACTTGGCAATTCTCCTCGCTTTGCCTTGAGCAGTATCGAATCCAAGATCGACAGCTGTCTTGGCGACCTGACAAGGCACCTCCAAGCCGCGGAGAAAACGATCCAACGAATTCGCCAGACCCTTACTAGTGCAAAGCAAACAGGTTTTGTCCGAAATCACCAACCGTTGCCCCCGAAGCCCCTGGACCAGAGCCTGGGAAACCTTAGAAAAAGCAGGCCGAACGAACGTCGGATGACCTTCGCATCTAGCAACGGTGTCATCAATAAAAGACCAAAGCTGCACACTGTCGCCTGGCCTGACAATGTGGGCCTTCTGCAAAATCGGAAAAAAAAAACATCTTGGCGATGGGACGCCAAGATGAGAACCCGCGACAATAGACCTGGCCGGCCACACAGGATCGCTGACTCCACCTGCTCCTTGCAGAAGCCTAGGTGCCTCGTGCACTTGTAATTCCATAGTAATCACAATGGCAGGAAACCGGGTTTCTCCGCAGTCTGGACAAGGAGTACCAGATTGAGGGAATCATATAACTTCCCAATGTCGAGAAGAAGAGTGCCAATCTGGGCCCCCAGGAGGAACGCGGTTTCATCCAGAAGACAACGAACCAGAGCCGCACGGAGAGAGGAACTCCCACGGATGGCCGTGTCCCAGAAGGCCCCCAGGGACTCAGCTCAGGAAGAAACAAAGCCAGCTCCCAGTTTACTCCAAATCTGAATCACATTCGAAATCAACCCTATGGTGCGGTCACCGCCCTTAGGCGTCGGCAACAGCGCACTCAAGGTGACAAACACTTCTTCAGGCCACACTCCGAGCTTCTCTACCCGATTGTACAGCTGCGTGAGATCGGCAATGGCAGACGGGGGCAAACGTTGGATGTCTTGGACAGAGATCACATCAACCCCAGGAGCCTTTTGAGGAACCGCGCACGACAGGAGCGAGGAGACCTCCTCAGGCTCGAGAGGGGGAAGAGGGCCCCCAGAAGCTCTCTGCAGGGCTCGGTCCACCGCTGCTTACAGTTCAGAAACTGAATCAACGGGGTCCGTCCACGCCCGTTGCCAAAATTCTCGTTTCGATCTCATGACCGAGACAGGATCCGACAAAGTTTTGCAAGAAACTACATTCTCAGGAGACGGCCTGGACACAGCTTTAACATGAGCATGGGCTCGGCCAGGCTTGGCCTTCCACTGCTCCTGGACGCATTTGTCAGAACCGTTCCGTCCTTCAGCAATGGCCTTGCGCGAGGCCCTGCCATAGCAGACCTGGGCACGCTGCCTGAGCTCAGGCAGGTCCGAACCGGAAACTAAATCGAGATTTGCTAGCAACTCCAACAACTCACGAGTCTCAGGCTCAAGAGAGCCCATCACAGAAGTCTCAGGGCCGAGGGCCAGGGGACACACCTTGTTGAGGAGTTGCTGACATTGACGCTGCTGAGCCGCGTCACTACCATTCTCGCGAAGAGCAGAGAAACGAAACAAAAGCGCGGTGATATTCCCCCACCACTCAGCAGCTCCGTTCTTCAAGCGGGCACGTCCAGGACTGGACCTGGCTTTCACCCAGACAAGCTTCGAACCACAGGCGCGGCCCAAGAAGGGGGCCCGCTCGGACTCAGGGACCTCCGAGGCATCCAGAATGACTTTCTCCAGGGAAGACACCCACCGTCCGAACAGATCATTAACACACTGGGTTTCTTTTTTCTCTCGCACCGTGCAAGAAATGCCTCGGCTCCGCCACGAACTGGTGCACCTCCTCGTTCCACGCTAGCCCCCACTGCCTATCGGTGATATGGTAGGTCGCAGCTGACGGGCCTGGCTGGATCTGGCCCGCGGCAGGACGCGCCTCGTCGAAGGCAGCGCGCAACTCTTCAGGGAGCCGTTCACGTCGTTGAATACGCAGAAGTTCTCGACGCAGAGACGTATTGGACCTCGGGCCAGGGAGAACCTTAGGCCGATCAACGTGAGGTACGTAGGGCACGCGGCACCCGCAACTTCTGATACCACACATCTTTCTCCGCCACCTTGATAGTGAGACGAAGTCCACAATGCGTGTTCCACGGCACCTCCAGATCAGGCTCCAGACTGACGAAGTCCTTTAATCTTTTGGAGATGAGTGCATCGTCGAACAAAGTACCTGACCCGTGATCGCAGGTCACTTTGCACCACGGAAGCAAGACATCCGCTTCCAGCAACTCAGGGTAACCTGTCCTCATCAACTCTTCAGGCTTGTGATTCCAATCCGCCAATATCACCCAATGACCTGATAGACTCCGAACAGATCCAGTGAGCGAGCGCAAAGTATCCTTATCGGGCCCACGCACACCATATTTGGGCCACATATATGAAGAACTCAAGACAACATTTCCCCCTGCAAGATGCCATACAACTGCCGCAAAACCAACCATATGAGGAAGTTTGGAACCAACAGATAGATGAGCAGAGGACGTCGCAGCGACATGAGAACGTACAAGAATGCTTCATCACCAGAACTGCCACCCAAGGGTCGACCAGACGGTTTGGATGGCGTACTGAACATTCGCCATTTATTATTGCCCAGTAGTTGCCGAACTTCTTCGTCTCTGCGGGGAAGAACATGCATCTCACAAAACATTAAAACCTTATACCGATCCTGATTGACAGCATATCGGTGCGCCTGAGGTCCCCACTCAGTGATGTTGGCAAACAGCACCGACGACCGAAACTTCACCTTACCCTGTCGCGCAGAACTTGCGGTCATATCAGCAGCCGTCCTGTGCCAAACTCGTGCATTCGAACTACGACGGGCTGCGTCCTGATCGAAAGTGAATGGCTTGGCATAGTCAGGAAAGCCCACGAACTGACACCCATCACTTGCCGACGCCGCTCGAAGCGTTGACGACTTAACTTGCACAGACACAGGGACTGGCTGATGGCAACTCTCGATATCATCGCCCAGATCATCGAAGGGACCATGATCTGTATTATCCATTTTACTTTGAAAATTTGTAACAGACGTAGCTGGCTTCCCTGCGACAGGTGGAATCAACCCAACATCTCCATTGAACTTGTTGAGCTCCAGGGGAGGGCCTTCACGCTCCGACGATTTAAGGCTCATAGCCACCCGCATGGGCTCTTCGGGTTTGCCCCCCCCCCCATGGCGTGACACTGATGCCGTGCATGACTTCATGGCGGTAGCCAAAACTAAAGCCCTGACTGCTGCCGACGAGCCAAAGCAGCCATACGATTAGCCGAACTCCCATATTTCTGCATCTTCTCCAAGAGCGTCTTAGTGCTGGCCTTGATGATCTCCTTATGCTGCGAACCCTCTGTCGCGGCGCCAACCCCAACGGGAGGAGTGGGCGGAGAAGTACCAGCCCCGGTAGCAACACCATGGCCATCATTATCCTTACGCTTCTTGGCCCAACGCTTAGCCTTTTCAGCAGCATCTTGACGGATAGCATCTGCTTTGTCCATGGCTTCACCGAACAATTCCTTTGCATTTTTCTTGAACAGGTCGGCCAATTCCAGCTGGCGCTTGTCGAACTCGGCTGTCTCTTCAGGGTTGAGCTCGTACCCATCTGCATTACCCAAGAAGGTGGAGAAGTCGAATACATCAGCCATATTGAAAGATCCATCAACAAGCTTGCGTAACTCCACCTTCGGCTGCTCAACCACCGTCGGCTGTGAGGCTTGCACCTCAGCCAACGTAGACTGGAAAAGCTCAGAGGCCGTCTGAAGCTCCTAACGTAAATCGGCCACCAACTTTGCTTGCTCCCCAATGCCACTGATCCACTTGAGGTGTTTCGAATACTCCGACTCGAGCCTCTTCTCAGCTATGTGCACCTGAGCCTCGACCTGCTGCAACCTCTGAGAGAAAAGGATCGCTGGCGCAGCTCTGGGTGTCTTTGCCGAAACGATGGCTCGATAACGACGTTCACCTTCACGATCACCACACACCGCTCACAGTCGATCCAATGCGCGAGCGCTGGGGCACTCGCCCCCTTGCTGTGCTCTGGGCCTGTTCCGTGGCGCTGGTTCTCCTGGGCTTAAGTCGTGCCTGTCCTTTTTAGGGGGAACATCCAAAAATAGTCAAAAAATAGTTGGGGGACGATTTTTCTAGCATGTTTTGACCATTTGGGGATATTTTTGCGGTATCTTCTATTTTTCGTCCAAAATCCCTTTGTAGGCGGACAGGCCCGACTTAATCCTAGGCGAGGTTCCGCGTGCGCCTGCTGGCGAGCTCGTGATCCTGGAGCGCTGGTTTTGAAGGAACCACAACAGTAAAGTCAGGAGGGGAACAAAAACACAGACACAGTGAATCCTCGATTCCCCCGAAATTTATGGGAAAACATGGGAAGGAGGGGGGGAAGACAAAGACCCAGAAGGTATGGGAAAAATATGGGGAATCCTGTTACTTGTGTGTATTGATTTGTGTGTCCCAGGGCCCCTTCATAAAAAGTAGTCGTGTTCCTTTATTGTAGTGGCCTCCGGCCAGTGCCGCCGATCCGGGGCTCTCCGGATGCTGATGGGAATGAGTGACCGTGCATGCTGAAGATACGGCTCTCGTTCGAGACATCCTCATAAGATGAACATGTGGAAATCGGTTGCGACCCCCCCCCGCTCCCTGCAGAGCGCTCAAGCCCATAGCTCCCGAGCACTGCATGGCGTCGGCAATCGGTCGTGTTCCTTTGCTTTTGCCAGGCCCCGTTCGGTCAAAAGCCAGCCGGCTGGGCTCTGCGCCGCACGTCGGCCATCTCGGCGTCTGCCCGGCTCGCCCCCGACCCGCTTGGAGCCCGAGGGGCGCCCAGCGGCGCTGGCCTTTGGTCAGCGGGGCCGGGCAGGCGCGGGAGTGCCCTCGGCGACTCCGAAGGCCCGATCGAGCAGGGCCCACTGGGCCGACCGATGCCCTGACATCTTGGTACAAAGGTTTCCCAGACATGTGGTCGCATCGTGAAAAAGATCAGGACGGGATGCTTTGGGCCAATTTTTCGGCCCCCGGGGGCCCTCGCCGGGCCTCGGGACCGTCAAAGAACGTCTCGGGATGAAAAGCCGGCCCCGGGGGAAGGGTCTGGACCTCCGAGGACGCCGTCTTTAGGAGGCCACATGCGAACCCTACCCCTACCCCACACGATTTCTGAGGGGGAGGGGGGGGTTCACTTCGTTCGGGAGCTCCCAAGCGAAGTTGTTTGTGTTGTTTATGCTTCGACCGACCTAAACATAGCTCTTGTGTTTTAAATGTTTTTTGTCTGCTGGGGTGCTCCGAGCAAGGCGCAGCTCCCGTGCAGCGCAGTTCCCGTGGCTCCGGTGCTCCGAGCGAGGCGCCGCCCGCGCAGCGCAGCTCTTGCAGCGCTGATGACCCCACCAGGCCTCCGATTGGCGAGTCCTTGCTGGAAACCTCCTTGCAGGACCTCCGGGAGGGGCCATCCCGATAGCATTAAGCCGGGCTTGTCCCTCTGCAGGGGGAACACTCAAAAATAGTCAAAACATAGTCTGGGGACTATTGTTTGAGTATTTTGAAGTATCTTTTGGTGTATTTTTGTAACTATGTCTTAATCTTCGTCGAAAATCCCCCTGTAGGGGGACACGCCCGACTTAACACCAGGCCTCCGATTGGCGAGTCCTTGCTGGAAACCTCCTTGCAGGACCTCGGGGAGGGGCCATCCCGATAGCGTCGCTGGGCAGCAGCTGGCCACTGTGTCCGCTGCGGCTCGCGCTCCGCTGAAGCCATGCTTGCCCGATATGCGCGCTCTGACCCGGGACTCCGGCCGAGAGGCCTTGGCGAGAGGGAAGCAGAGGGGGAGGCAGAGAGAGAGGAGCGCCAGAAGGATCGGGTGGGAGGCAGCAGCTTCCCACGGTCAAGCTCGCGCGGGCCAGAGCTTCCGCCAGCACAAGTCGCGAGAGCCCCGGCCTCCCGCAGAAACAACTCGCAGGAAGGGGCCGGGCCTCCCGCGGAGAAATGACATCTCGCGAGAGTGTTGGGGCGGCCTGTGGCCGTCGGGCGCGCGCCAGGTGGGCACCCTCCGCTGTGCACAGGCGCGCGGGAAAGGTCGCTCGGGTCGCAAACGGGCTGTTGCGAATAGCGGCCAGTACTTCTGGGTCTCCCAGATGGGGTCCGAGTTGACGGGGTCGG